CTCGTCCTGCCAGCTATCGGCACCTAAACGGCATTTCCAATTTCTCTGTTCAATAACGGCAGAATTGAAATTTAACTTTAAGAATATTATAGAAAAGTACATGGTCGTGTAGGCAAATGTTCATTGAAATATCTGGAACCGTGTTGAAAAAATGTCGTTTGAACGTTTCTGAGCGTGTATTTCCATTGAAATCTCGAAATCGATCACCAAAAACTCACAATTTAAAGAAAATTGAACTTGCGTCATTTTTATACGCATTTTTCAATTTCTCAACCATAGCCATTGGTTTTAAATGAATATTTCCTTTTCGAGCAAAGATTGAAATAAATAATAACATAATTGAACACGTTTCAAATTTTAATTATCTGGGAAAGAATATAGCCTTTGATCATTCTAAAGATCTAGAACAAAAACTCTCTTAAATTCCTGCAGCTACTTGGCGCAATGAAACATCTTCTGAAGAAAGTGAGAAAAGATACTGTTCTTAAATTCTATAGAACTATGGCTGTTCCAGTCGTCTTGTATGGTGCTGAGGCATGGGCAGTAAAAACTCAACAGCGAAAAAAGATAGAAGCAGCAGCAGAAATAAAGTTGCTGAGACCACTAGCGGAATACTCTTTGAGGGACCAAGAAAAATGAAGATATTGGATCAGACATACACATGTGCAATATAGGCTTAATATTAGATGCTTATAGATCCCAATTGTTTAACCAGATAACGGATTGTTCGCGCATCCCTCTTCAAAGTTTTGGGTTCAGACTCCAAAACAGAAGAAATGTAGGACGTCCACGACTGCTATGGAATTACCTATTAAAACTCTTGGAGATGGAATAGGTTTAAAGGCCTAATCGACGCTGTATATGATGATGTTTTTCAATCTAATTAAATTCATTGATTGTTTATTTTATGTGGCTGAAAACTGAAAACTGAAAATTGTCTCAAGAAGGAAAACTACCATGGAAGAACGAAGACTTACTGTGAATTTAGCAATGAGGAAGGTCATTCGTTGCGATGACTGTGGGAAAAACGCACTCAACTATTTAAAATATAGTAGACAAATTCAAGTGTGATGGCAGATTAATAAATAAAAGCGATGGGCCGAAAACTGGTACTCAATGAATGAGATAAAAAATATTGTCAATCACAACACCATGAATCCTCGCCAAGGTGTTGTTAAAATGACTGTGTGGTTTCAGCAACAGGGAGAATTGGATACACAGAAACCGTTCGAAATGCACTACGGGACGCAGGTTACAGTGTGAGAGTAGCCAAGAAGAAGCCTTGGATTAGTAAAGCCAATCGGCGCAATGGACTGCGGTAAGCGAAATCTTAAAGAAACCATCCTTCTGAATTCTGGGAAATTAATTTTCAGCGATGAAAGTAAATTCAAAACATGTGGATCAGACGGGCAAGAGTACGTGTGGAGGAAGGTTAACGCAGCCTTAGAAGATAAAAATTAGCGTGCAGCTGCGTACGGTTTAAACGCTGGCAATGTTGACCAGACAGCCAGACAGCTAGACAGCCAGCCAGCCAGCCAGCCAGACGGACGGACGGACGGACGGACATTTGTCGTCCACCCGCCTAGAGGGCGTAATTTACTACACACAGGAACGAGAATTATCCACTTTTTTGGTGTCAAGGCCCTAAAGAATGAATGTTTCTGTTGAAAAACAGCTGTTTTTTCTCGGTGGCATTGCATACTTTTCTCTATGCTATGTATGAAGTATGCGAGAAAAAAAATGAGATAGTTTCTTCAGCAAATGTGTGCTGGAATTGTTTATTTTTTTACAATAGCGAAGTGTCAAATATCCAAATTCTGTGATTAAAATTAAATTATATAGGTATTGTGCATGGATTCTCTTCTTGTACCTTTTCCGCGAGCTCCAAAGTGTGCAGAAACATGTACTTAACTGGAGAATTGTTTTCTGTAATGATAATTTTGTATGTAATGTATCTTTGATCTTCAAAATAAGACAAATTATGTTGAAGCGACTTAAAAAATGAATGTGTTTAGTCATTCCCACGTATATCTTTGATGGGACGCATTCACCGCCCTCTTGAACAAATTCACTTATAAATTCAATTCAATTCGTTGATGGGAAAATGGTGAACGTGTAACCTTGACATAAGTCTGAGAGGTCAAGGCATTTCTGTAAATTGACATAATTCTGCAATAGTTCAAAATAATATGTTCGAATGTTGACAATAGGAATCGCGTGGACACTAATGGCAAAGTAATCATGTACATTAAGAGCAACTTGATATCTCTGAAACCAAGGACTATGACAGCCATGTGGACGGATTGAGCGGGTGTTGCCTTTGCCACGACTGTGTACTCGGGCAGAAGAAGGCCGTACATTTTCTTGTAAAAAGCTGCTTGCTTTGTGAAAAGCAATCCTCCAAGTGAAGTTCAGCCATATGCTACCGAAACAGGGAAAAACATAAACGCCTTTGTTCCACAGGAGGAGGAGGAATGCGACTTGCGAATTGCTTGGGTTAGAGGGTGTCTTTCCTTGTTGTGGCGGATGCTTAGAGGAAACAAGGCAGCGACATGATTCACAGAACTGGTCATAAAGACGTGTCAAGTAGGCTAAGGTGCCACGTGTTTACTGACTATAATTGGAGCTAAGCACAATGTTTAGAATCAAATTCTTGAGATCATGAAATGCTTTTTGTGAAATTAATTGGACGTTTTTCATAAAATGTGTACCTAAGATTTTAGAGGAAAAAATAGTGTTAATTTGTTGTCAAAATGCCATTTTATTTTACTTAAATTTTGTACATTACAGAGAACTGTAAGCTGTCTCCTTTAAATCGTCGTGGTATGTTTGTTGTGAAGACTCGTTCCGAAATACATTGAATGTTGCTATACGAAATTTGCAATATATATTAAAATGTTCAGCTTTAGAGAACTCATAACAAAAGTACATCACTTGCAACGGTAGCCTTGTTACGGATTACAATAATTGCTATATTAAAAGAAGCAATGAAAATCATTTTAGTTTAAGAGAATTAATCGTATTTCTCGGCAGCAGTTAGTTTTACATCATTAACCAAAATGGAGCGCCTCATTACCGCATCGAAGTGACTGTTCAAAATGCTCACGCTCATGAAACGGGCTAGCGCTGCAAACTTACATTACTGTAGCGTTAAAATACAATCCACATAATTGTAATAATTTAGGTAAAAATACATTGCCAACTAAACTAACTGGGGCAATGCATTACGATTGCCATTGAATAGCTTGGCAGTGCCATCCGACCATCTCCAAGGCTTCCACGAAAATGGGCGAGATATGCACGCTGTCGCCGGAAATAGTCTTTTTCACGCGCAGCAGAAGTAATCATGGTTTCCTCCGTGGAAGAAATTTGCGGTAAAATATTAAGAATTTTAAAAGCGTGAATTTTAATTTAATAGACCTGCAAGTAGTAGTAGTAATATTATAACGAGTTATATTACACCCTAGGGTGTCCCTCGCATCCCAGTTTCCACATCTCTCAATCGGTGTTCTCTTCATTACTCAATTCTCTCTTCACTATTGCCTCATCCACTCCCTCTCTCCATGTACGTCTAGGTTTTTCTCTTCGACGATGGGTAGTTGGTTGCCATTTCCACAATATATTCGGCCAATTTTTTCGTTTCGTGCCATCGCTTCGTTCATTCTTTGCGTGTGCCCGTACCATTTTAGTCTTTTCCACTTCTATGGTATCAATTATGTTAATTCTTAGTTCCGCTTTACGTTTAATTTCTTCGTTCGACTGGCAAGTTAATTGGAATAATTGTAACTCTTGTTATGTAACAAACTTAAATATAAATAAAAATGTTTCCTGTTAAATTATTTTAGGGATAAAATGTGTTATTCTTCTCATGTAAGTGGTGCTCTGGGTGGAACGAGCTGGTTCTTCGTGGTCTTCTTGGCATTGGATCCACGGAATGTATGTGCTCCCACTTTGACAATACTGAGCCAGCTAATTCGTTGAACATTAGGGTGATGTTAGGCAACAACAATAGATCAAGTTTCAATACACAGCGCGAATTGTACAATCGCTTGTTTACATTGTTGGACTATATGAAAATTAGCATGCCCGAACAAGCTTTGAGAGTGACAGGTTCACGTTGCTGTCAAGGTAGATTTTCCCCACAGATAAACATCATCTTAAATATTCCTTTACTCATAACATCGTCCTTTATCTAGAATGTATTTTTAATATCGAACATGAGCATCTGCTGAGCCATGTGAAGCAATGTTTCTAAAAACATTGCAATGAGCATTTCTTTAGTATTTTACTGGGACTTTCTACTCGTTCACCAACCTAATCCTATGTGGAACAGATTTAACTAGTGAGTCAACAAAAGCGCATACTTTCTGGCATGCTTTCTAATTTTGCAATTTTCAGACTTAAACGAAAATAAGATTCGCGTCGTTCTTTTTAGCGTCCCATGTGAAATAAGTTTTTTAACAACAAATTTCCAACACATGCAAAAATCGATTTACAAAAAAATTGTACATGACCTTTTAAAAAGATCTTACTTTTTAGAACGGACTTTAAGGCAAAAGCCACTATCTTCAATTTTGTAGTGTAGAAATGTTATCTTGCAATTTTCGAAAATACCGATAGTTGCTGAAAATGAAACTGGCACCATATTTATACTCTCCTTTGTTACATACGAAGAGAAAATTTAAAGAAAAAATTAGGAGCGATTTTTGAGAAAAAATATTTGTCTCATTTTAAGTTTTTTGTTTCACATTTTGAAATTTTTGAAACAAAAATGTCAAAACGTCATTACTCATTGAGGCAAAAATTACTTGTAATTTTGAACGTATGTTTCCGGAGGGGATGCAATTGCTTTGTGGTACACAGATATTAAATAATGTAGTGACATAATGCATTCTCTCCTACCATGGGAGCATTCCTAATTCCTCGTGACAGTTAATATAAAAAATACATCTATGCTGTTTTCCTTTGCAACAATTGCTAATCCGGACCTTCTGTTGCAGATCTGTCAAAGGCGCAGCGTACCCTGTCCCATTCCTTACAAACGTTTGACTTCCCGTGCATCGGAGATGAGACAGACGACGAGATGGTCATCGCCAAATCCCTCAAGGACTTGGGTAACCTCATCGCAGGGATTGAGGACCATCGTGATATAATGGTGAGTGTGAGAAAATGTCTGATTTTATTGCGGGTGCTCGACATTTCATTGCAGGAGACGAGAAATCCTTGGGAGGAGACGGTCGCAGCGAACAACAGCAAAATATTGAGAGTTGGCAGAATAGTGGGTTTATTCGAACGTTGTCTGAAATTTCAGGGTCATCGCAGAGCCGAGAATTTATTGTTCTGAGGGATGCTCTTCGTATACAACACCTGGAATTATGGAGATATCCATTGGTGTTTTAATATTTATTAGTGACTGACGTTTAAAATTGACTCTGATACACGTTGATAAACACGTAACAAGCTCCAAAATGGAAATGATGGTGAAATGCGTTGTTGAATAATCGAAAAATTAGAAACGTCAGTCACCTTTTTGAAAATTGCAAAAATTCAATTATTTTTTCGGCGACTTCCTATAACTACAGTTATGAAGATAGGGATTTTTCCCTTGATGAAATCTGTTCCTTACAGATAGATTTTAAAATAATGTCGTGTACAATTTTTCGAAAATTTAGAATACAGATAGATATATTACAGATAGATTTTAAAATAATGTCGTGTACAATTTTTCGAAAATTTCATATCTTTTCACGTAATTTTGCATGAATGTACGGGCGAGAAAGTAAGTTCTGTTAAGCACCGCTAGTTTCTTGTGAAATTCTCCGCGTGTATTTCAATTTTCTCTGCAAGACAATCCTGTCGGAAGAGGACGTTGACACCAAATGACTTCAGCGTGGTTTTAATGGTGCGTTGGTGTCGCGTTTTAGAAGATAAATATACAGCAGGTGATGAATTTATCGCAAACCGGTCCCTGTGCCCCACATTTACGAGGAAGTAGTTTCACTTGCTCTTTAGTGCGATAATCAAGTCGGGCGAACCATGTGTGAGGCACTGAGCATTAGAATACTTTTGAAATGACTTTTTAAGCCGTAGGAATAATTTAGGATAGATCTACTATTCGAATCCGTTTTAACCATGCGTAAGGGTAATTTACAATACAATTTTAAAACAAAATTAATCTGATTCTAACTCGAGCGTATTGGGTAAATTCGTACGAAACGTATAATACATGCGTCAAGTTTAGGACACTAAATTATTTTCACAAAAAATATGATCATAAGAGTAAGGAGAAAATAGGTGTGGGCATGAAGTTTCATATTAAGCGTGGAAATGCGTGTTATGAGTGTGAGATTAATAATGAAATGAGGACATGTTATCAAATCTGGCAGTTCAGTGACTATCTTGTAAGTCCACAGTCGTATTAAATATAAGTCCATATCTATTTAGGTTCAGGTTTGTTCCTATTCTCAACACTGTTGCGAAGATGGAAATAATAATGATTACAATAAATTATTGTAAACAGTACTAGTATGTATCTGCGAGTGATTTTTTAGAAAAGGTCGTTGAATTGTCACGATATTTTACTGATGATGGTTTTGAAAATTGTGTATATGTAATATGTAAATTTTCTGGCTCTACGGTGGTATATAATTGAAATGTAATCTCTACATTTACAGCAAGCATTACAATCTTCCCTGAAAGGAATATAACAGACAGCTTTTGAATTCCATCCCAAAAATCAAAGTGACAAGCGATCAGAAAGTGTTAAAACGATCTAGGAAAAGCCTGGGTTTTTCGTGAAGTTTCGTTACATTTTTACTCTTGTCTAAGAATTTTTGCTTTTTTACATTTTTTTCGCAGAAACGTTTTGTGTAGATTTTCGCGTGAACGTTAAATTTGCATTGGAAAGTAGTTGAGAGGTGTCATGAAAGCGGAATCTGTGAGTTCATGAGTGTGCCCGCGACTTTAGGGAGCTTATGAATCATTTGGATAACTTCAATGTTATCCGTACTATTTCATTGAACGTCTTCCACAAATCCTATGATTACAAGGGAACTTTTAATTCTGACTCATGAATTCACAATTTCTTCGCCTCGAATTTGTGGACTGTACAAACATCTGTGTGATTGACATATTAAACTAAGTTTGTTAGATTTAAGAGTGTTGTTGAACATGCTTAGAATGCCCATTGCAAAAAAACATTCTTCAGCAATGTGCATAGAGCAGGGGTGGCTAACCTTTTACTTCGTGTACCCTATTTTGCGCTAATTTCAGATGTACCATACAGCTGAAGTACTTTCTCTGCCTTCATACGTCCATAATAATTTGTAGTTCGAATAAGAGTTGGGTAAGAGTAGGTACTATATGTTTCACTTAGGAGAGGAAAAAGGAATACAACTAAATTATGTAATCTAATTTTACGCTAGTGCAAACGATACATTTTTTTGTAATCTGGTACTCGACGATATGGAGATAGCTGGGGAGAATCCTCCAAAATAAACTAGGGGGCGGATTTTAATGAAACGTAATGTTTTCTTTTCACTTTAGAACAATTCCGTTTACTACAGAAATTAATATTATGTTGTGACAAAAAGTACTCCAAAAAGTTCTTGAACCTTAGGTACTGTAAGAATATGTAAGATATTTCTTAAATTAAAATAAAATATTGGTTTATACATTTAAAACATAATTGTAAAATTAGCATATCATTTTCAAACATTCTATCAAGATAATTGCTATGAATCTGGTAAATGGAGTGTCCTACTCTGAAATTAAAATTAGAACAATTCATTAAAATTAAATTTCTTATAGATTTTTTTCTATGATATTCTAGATGTGTATATATATATATATATATATATATATATATATATATATATATATATATATATATATATATAATAATGATATTCCTAAAGTACCTCAATATAGAGAACTCCGAAACGTATTATACTCGTACAATCAATTTTAAAGTTTACGAAATGAGAAAAAGTAAAGTTAAATATATGTGTAGTATGTGTAATTACACATTTGTACTATTTATTTCGCCGCTGGAATTTGAAGCTTATATTTTATTTTAATTTTGGGGGTACTTTACATGAAGGCACTGGGACATTTTGAAAAAAACTCGAGGCAAACTTTTTAATTAAATTGTGCTGTCGGATAGCGTACAGGATGCAGCCATTGCAGCGGGGTGGCAGGTGCTCCGGGAGAATCAAGCAGTGGTGGGCAGCAGTCGCCCTGATCGCGTACTCGCGAGGGGCAAAATAGCACTCGTGGTGGACTTCCCGGTGGCTGACGCACGAGAGGGCAAACTTGAAAAGAAGTTAGGAGAAACGCGCTAAAAATACGAAGCCACCCGCGCTCACCTCATTACCGTCGGTTACCACAGCGCCGAAATACTCCCCCCGCTCGTGGTAGGGGCACTGGGAGAATGGTGTGCGCGTAGTGACGCCGCACTAAAGAAAGTTGCAGACGGCCACAAGCTAAAAGCCTTAAGAGAAAGAATAATCACTGCGGCTATTGATGGCAGTGCGGCATGCTACTACACGCACACCGGCAATACACACCTGGCCCCGCGTGAGTACAAACAGATAGCGCGGGACAGAGTCCGCAAAGGCGCCCTCCTCCACCCCATGCCACAGGAAGCTAACTGCGGAACAACACAAAAGACCTGCAACAACACCAGACGACAAGCTGGAGCCCCTGCCTAGAAAATGTGTGCCTCCAGTGTCAGTGAAGCGAAAGCAAGCAGTTAGTGGCAGCCTAAGTGATAGTGAGATGCAAAAGTACATGAAAATATGCAAGAGGATCAATGCCGGACACAAGCCACTAGATTTATGTATTATAAATAACACATAATAGCATACATTATAAATAATAACCAAGAATGTACATATTGTAAATAGTAACAGTAGAGAGATAATAGACATATAGAAGTAATATAGAAGGATATAATTTACACTAAGCCAGACGGCGGTGTGTGTGTGTGTATTAGATTAAGAAATAAATATTTGTGTTAAAGAGAATAGCCCAGGTCTCATGATCGTTGATTTCAATCTCTGATTTCCAAGACACATCTTGGAATGAGGTCATGGTAAAATGTCAGAAAATATGAGCAATTTTAGTGTAGGCCTGCACAGTATTTTGCACTCTGCTGGAAATAATGCGAGACGGTATTTGCTGTTGTAGCTTCACTAGTTAAATTCTCGATCATTTTGTAAGTAAGTAGTGAAGATGCGATAAGAAGTATAGGTGTAAGGAGTGTAAGAACAACTACTACTGGCGCAAGTTTTCTTGATACACGAGCTCCCGAGTCCTCACACTGCGCTGAACTGCGCGTTGAGATACTTAGGTTCGACTCGGAACGACACATACCAGTTTACAATGCTGGTGACAACTTTCAAAACACTCGTAGCATTTTTCGTTGCACTGTGTGGCGTGGTAAGTCTATGCCCACAGTTGGTATGTCCTTTTAAGCCGTGACGTAGCCAGAGCCCTCGTCTCCCCGCAACTCCCGCTGCGGAATATCAAGAAAACATGCGCGTATAGTAAGTACATTAGAGAATTCCATAATGCCTTTTTAGTCTTAGTGGCCCCCTTTAGTCGGATTGTTACGTATTTTCTTTAGTTGTTGGAGATGTGATGTTTTGTGCGAATTTTTCTAGAAGAAGATCATACATTTAGAAGACGCTGTACATACCAATGAACATTGAGAACGAACTGTAATTAATAAATCTAACGATAACTGACTGAGAGACATGAAAGTGCTTTTGTAAGATTGTGGTTTTGTAATTTTTGAAACTGTTGTTTTTGTACGCTATTCTCCCAAGTGAGTCACGAAGCTTGGAAGCGTTGTAACACATTAACAAGTGCGACTCATAGAAATGTCAGCGCTGTTTTCTTCCAGTACCATGCATTCCAACTGTTCACACACCAAGCCTTAATATACAATATGAATCATAAAAGTAAAGTGAAGCTTATTTTTAATTCTTTTAGTGTTCTGTAGTGCAAGAAAAGCTCGTAACAAAAATACCTTACAGTTTAAAAAAAAAACAACCATGGAGCCTCTTTATGAGAGCCAAGCAATAGCATAATTAAAATATTAGCGTATTTACTGTAAAAGAAGTGTTTGTTAAACCACATCTGTTTTCTTTA